TACATGTATACACGTGCATGTGTATATATATATATATATACGTATATATATATATATGTGTGTTTAACAGGTGTGATTTGTGACGGCAGAGACTAGAAGCCTTGCAGCCTGGACCCTCGACCTGAATTCGTAAACCCTGCATCCTAAACCCGATACCGTAAGGTGCAAACCCTTATAATCCAAGACCGGATTCCTGAAACGAAAACCATTGGGGCCGGTTGATTTTGCCCACCAGGTGGCCCTACCATATGACATCGACGGCCAAAGCAGCAGTCTTGGCGTCTACAACTGGGCCTGTAGCCTTTTCGGGAGGAATCTAATGCTTCAGTGTTCGGCCAAATAAAGTTTGGATGCGACGTTTGGTTTCTGCGATCCGATGTAGGGTATGGGTCTGTGTTTTCAGACCCCAAGACTGATGACGCAGAGCGTCCTTTCTCACTGCCTGCAGATGCCCTGTGTTTCCAGGTCTAGGGGACAGCTCAGGTTCTTCTGGGCTTGTCGATGTCTCGGATGCATCCACAAAGCACCTGGCTTTGTAGCCCAGGTGAGGGCGCGACTCTCATCATCAACCGTGGAGGCAGACTTGATGGGACATTACGACCATGAGTAGCAGCGCATGTTTATGAGTGGCCTTAAAAGAAAGCATTAACTCCTGCCAGCATGGCGCTGTCCTGCACACAGCATCCTTTACCTTTGGATTGACGGCAGTCGCTAATTCAGAGAGCAAGACAGGCCAGCGTGACAGTTAGCGATCAGCAAACATGCTCAAAAATTTGCAATGCTTCTGTCAGCTTTCCGGGCCGGCATTACGGCCACCATCCGGATCAACACGGTGCGCCTCGGGCGTGCGGGTGGACAGCTGCGTGCTCAGAATTCAGTAGAAAGACAGCGGTTGACTCTAACTGTAGACCCTCTGCTCGCACTTGTGCTGCTGCTGCTGCTGCTCTCACCATTACCACTGCCACCGACTGCGACTGCTACTAACTACGACTTCGTCCAGGATGCTCGTGAATGCCAAATTCCGTGGTGCATCAGACAATATTTGTGCTTCAGTTGCTGCGTGAGACTCTCGCATCATGCGGCAACGCTAGCAGCTAGCAGAACATCACGGCTAACTGAGGACTCGGTTCAATCTCATCACGTACAGAGATGAGACGCGAACGGAGAAGAGGGCGTCGAACCCAGCTGCCGAAGTCACAGCGGTATGGGAGCCAGACGATGCAGCAGCTTGATCCTGCTTTAGCCGCCCGTAAACTACTGCAGCACCTTCCTGTGCAGGCGGCATAGCACAGGATACATGGGACAGCGCTGCCTCGAAAGAAGATGATCTGCATGATCGCTGCATTATGCAGTATGTTGAGCTAGCTCGCCAGCTATGTCTGAACTAGAACAACTAGAAGATGAGAAGTGCGCAGCCTGAGCTGAACCAGGTGAACCTTAATCCCCAAAGCCCTGCTACAAGGCCTGAAGCACTCCGCGCAGACAGAAACGAGACAGCGAAGACAAGGCATCAACGCATTTCCACCCGGCACCCCACAAAGGACGAGAAGCTGGATTTCGATGGAGGTTTCCGACTGCCTGGCCTGCCTGGGCCCCAGCGAGGAGTAGCTTGGGTCAGAGACTATACGTACAGTTACTTAATCAAGGTACGGCGACATCCAGAACCTATGAAGCGGTCAGACTCAGTCCGCATTCGTTTCTTCTACTAGACCAACAGACGCAACAGAAAAGACCTGTTGACTTCAAGTCATGGCTGTAGAGTTGCGAGAGTGTGGTTCCCTTGGGCTCCGCAAGATAGAATCCACCTCCGCGTTTGCGACTCCAATTGCAGCCGCTCTACTCATGCTGGGTTTGTGAGCTGTGTAGGCAACTGGTGAGGGGGCCCTGATTGGTCTTTCAAGACTCAGGGCTTGCTAAAGACTTCAGGATTGACCAGTGCGTAAGACCAAGGTGTAGAACCTTCCGGGCTAGATTTGCGGTGAAAGAAAGAAAGGAAAGGCCTACATTTTCAACCCCCGAAGTGGACTCCGAAACCGCAGCCCTCACCAAAACTAAGTTTAAAACCGGAACGCCCTCCAAAGAAGACGCCAAAACCCGGCTTAGAACACCACCCACGGCTTCCGTCACTGCCCTTACCAGGCAAGCCCGAGCCTATTACATGGTAAGATACACGATGCGATGCCATACTGTACTATGCTGTACTATACTTTTAGAACAGGTTTGTTTACAATATATATATATATATATAAATACATACATACATACATACATACATACATACATACATACATACATATATATATATATATTAACTCCAATATACTTATAACATCTTTTCACAATTATCAGTACAGCTTGAAATGCCCAGGATCACGGTGCAGGGCACCCCCGTGCTCAAGAGCCAGCCGGACACTCAGCAGATGGATTCGTTGCAGCGGGCTTGGGGAAGTGGGGGCCTAGGGTTGGTTTCGGGCCTAAGGGTTGGGAGTAGGGGGGGGTCTAGGGTTTAGGGTTTAGTGTATTGCAGACCTTCACATAGCTGGTGAAATCCGACAAACACATCACTGCGTGCGACTTCGCATGAAGAGTTAGTTTGTTGGGGCAGTGACTGAAACTCTCCCTTACGCACATGCATACAAGACGGTCATCTTCGCCCCAAAGCTGCTTTCCTGTCTGGTGATGCTATGATCCTTTCGACAGAGTTGAGGGTATGGGGTTCCGGGCCCGCGAATCCTAAACGAAAGCTGGAAAAACTTATGCATGTATGTGTGTGTGTATGTACATGTGTATGTGGGTGTCCGTCTGTATGCGTGGAATGTGCTTGTTGTACACATAGGTAGATGTCGGTATGTCCATGTATGTATGCTTGTTCGTATGTTGCTTGTATATCTCTGTATGTGTTGTTTTGGTACGGATGCACATTCATTTCCGTTGGTGTGAGTGTTTAGATTCATGACTTGGCTGGAGGAGCGTAGTATTAGGCTCTTTTGTGCATGCGTTCACTTGAACTTGTCTGTCTTCGTTCATGCGCCGCACCTATGTCCCACTTATTTCTCAGACCAACCATGGTACGTGCATGCATGTCATGAAACCTGTCGTACGTATCTCCGTGCGTAGTGCCAGAGGTTGCATGGTTTTACACGGAGTCTGCCACTCTGCCACTGTAGTTAGCCACTGAGAATGAAACCATTCAGCTAGCAGTAGTACGTAGAGTTCTTGTTGACAGCGATGTACTGCTACTGCTGCTGTTGCTCCGGGGATCCGGTTGATACAAGCCCATGTTAGAAAGCTGCACACAGTGTGCCAGCATTTCCAGATTCTAACCTTTCGGGTTGGCATGTTCAGGACAATGATGAGCATGATTCTTAATAATTACAGTAATAACATATTAACATAGTTATAACATATAGCAGCTATAGCACGATCGTTTACATTACTATCATCCCGACTGTGGCCAAGGTACCAGGTTGCGGCAGCAGCGAACCCTGTCAAGCAGCTCTTCAGACCACGTGTCTTGGAGGACCGGAGAGAAAGAGAGGGGCCGGCTCTAGTATACGATACTAAAAGTATAGTATAGTATAGTATAGTATAGTATAGTATAGTATAGTGTGCTATGCTATACTGATAGCATATTCTAGTATACTATAATATAGTTTAGTCTATGTGTCGAATAGCTGAGAAGTCTTAGGAGCAACGGGAGTTGGATGGTTGCCTCGTGCATCACATGGTCAGTGAAGTCCGAGAATAACACCCCTGGCATTTATCCAGCCGTCATCAGCCGTGCAGTTGAGCGGTAAAAGCTGTGCTGTGCTGTTCTCAGGATGCTCAAGCTGAGTTCACGCTCTCCTTCACGCGGCCAGTCCAGGCATCTGAAAGGTCGGTAGCTTACCAGCCGCTCTTACCAAACTCCAGCCCTCAACGCAAGCACTGCATCATGCTGCGTTTTATAGACGCAGCGGCCGCAGCAGGATTGGCTCTCTGAAGCCTCTTGCTCGAAGCGAGGCTCCTCATCACGTGCCAGGGGCAAGCACAGTACCAGCTCAAGCGCGGAGCTCGGCCATGTTTTTGTGCTTTTGATATGAACTGAAACGGTCTCCGCTCGGCAGCTTCAGCAATTTGCTGCCCTAGGCAGTCCCCTTTTGTCGTCATCGGCATCGGCCAAATCGAAAACCAAGCCGGGTGCCCGGACAGACCCCAGAGGCGTTCATCACGAAGGGCCAGTTTCGACCGTCGATGGTAGTCTTGGTTGATTGGTCTTGTGGCAGATTAGGGAGGTTTCTGCGGTCTGTTCCCCGCTTTATCCCTCCCTTCCCGGCATGGCGCATGCAGAGTTCAGTTGTCAGTTGTGCAAAGCACCGGGGCATAACCGCGTCTACCGGCTGCACCGTTGACAAAACACACGGCAGGCACCAATGGAGCCAAGCATGCTACAGTGCAGCAGAACACAGCTTCCTACTTTGCGTTCTTCGTGTCTAAATTACGGTATGATACCAAGGTGGAGATCGACTCCTTTGGCACGCTTCGGGTGCGCCGCAAAAGCATGTAAGACATAAGCCATCGCAAACACCAGAGCTGAACCCTAGCATTAGTGTTCATTATTCTTTAGATTTAGTCTTAGTAGTAGTAGTAGTAGTAGTAGTAGTAGTAGTATTAGTAGTAGTACTAGTAGTAGTAGTAGTAGTAGTAGTAGTAGTACATATAAGTACTTTGTGGTGTAAGGTGTAGGGTTTGGGGTGCTCTTGCTTTTTCGGGATCTGGCCCTTGAGCCTGCCAACTTTCTTGCTGCTCCCGGGACCCGTTCGTAGTCACCATGGTCATGTCTATCCCTACCGTTAACCCCCCAGGTACCTACTATATAGGGTACTAGAGCCCCTAAGGCCCTATATAGTAGGTACCTGGGGGGTTAGGGTATTGTGCTCGAAGTTTGCACGGCTGCTCTGAGCTGTGTCCCTCTGGTGGCATGAGTTTGGAGTCCAAGCAGCACCTCTGAGACCACGCTGAAGGACATTGTTGCACGCACGTGATATAAACGTGCTGAGTTACTGTTAGGAGCAGCTGTCAGGCTGGCTTGAACTTGTTGTCTGAAACACCTGCCTGACGGATTCAGCCGTTTAGGAATGGGATCTGGGAATTCTTGTGTGTGCAGGCGACGCTCAAGCCCGGACGTCCAGCGACGGAGGTGGCCTTGCAGGCCGGGTTAAGCCGAGGCGAAAGGATGGTCTTCAGCTTAAGACCTGAGAGGCGGATACGCCGTACACCATCATCATGTGGGTCAGGGCCTTGCTCCTGAAAGGCACCCGCACGAAAGACGACACTCTCGTGTAAGATTTGGTGTACCGAGTAGGTGGTTGGTAAAGTACTGTACAGAGAGAGGCACGAAGTTGCAGCACATCTTCGCAACAGCTGCTGTAAATTTGGAAGCTTCCTAGGATTTCCAGAAGTGTGACTCCACGCGCAATGAGGTTCTACCCATCCAGGGCGCCAACACTTGGCGTTTCGACACCAGCGACGGCGGCTCGCTGCCCACGAACACCAACGATGGTGACCTTGATGGCCCGAGCCTCCAAGAGAGATCTGAAGAAGCTTCTAATCATTCTAATCTAGGGGCCTTAACAATTATCTACATTGTTTTTGGGTTCCGTGTTATATATAGTTATAGTGTAATATGCCCCAAAACCCGACTCTAATTGTTAAAGCCCCCACTGCACGAGTCTACTGCAGCCCCTAAAACCCGAGAGTCTCTCCACGACCCTCCCTCAACTCCCTCGCACGCTGCGAGGCTTCTATCCTGTGGAGCAGATGGTTCTCGGAGTTGAGGCGAGACCTGCGTGCCTCCTCAGACTGATCCTCTTAAGTCTTCGGTGGAGCACCTCTATAGCTCCCAAGGCCCCCGCACAGCCATAAACGGTCGCATGGATTCCCTCTCTGATGGCAAGCATGGCTGTCTCTCCTCGGAACCCGGAGCTTCTGTCACAGAGCTGCGAGCTTGAAAGGCCGTGCGAAGTCCGCCGAAGGCTGTGGCAACTCAGCTGAACTTCTGCCGGCATCGATGGTTTCCGACCACCGATTTAGCAGGGGTGGGGGCTTTAGGGTTTCTGCTCCTTTACGGAGCGTGCACAGGATGCGATTGCGGCTTGATCATCGCTGAGCACTGCTACCTAGTTACAGTGATTGGTGTGAGCGCGATTAGACGATGCATGTTATGCGTTCAATCGAGTGATCTGAAGCATACAGAATTTTTGCATCCAGGTTGATGTCATTCTCAACATCGACGCGGGCAGTGCCATCGTTCGGGACAGACTGTGGAAGCAATTAGGGCTCTTCCGTTCTGGATTCTACTGTAGATGTAATGTGAACTTGGCCGGTGCTGCCATGCTCTGGTGCGCCCTTTCTGATAGAGCGTCGATCAGCCCCTAAAAAGCTGAAGCCTCGGAGCCTCAATGTATAGAAAAAGCTGCAAAGCTCGGAGGAGCTGATTATCATCGCTCCTCCCAGCTTCCTCTTCGACGAGAGCGCGGGTGGATGTGGGAACATGTGCCTGCCCGGGGCTTCGGGCTCCGAAGCGATCTTGAGAGCTGAGGTTTGGGGTAAGACTACTGGTAGTTTTAGCTGGCACTAGTAAAGCAACGAATTACGACACAATGGCTGTCAGGGTAGCAGAAGCGCAACCCAGTGCTTCTGGCCTTGCATGGCCTTACATGCAAGGCTTGGTTGGCGCACTTGCAGGCGCCACCTGCTGGTAACTCGTCGTCAGTCTGTCAGTCAGTGAGCCAGCCAACCAGCCAGCCAGCCAGTCAGTCGTCAGTCAGTCATCAGTCAGTCAGAGTGTGAGAGTGTGTGAGTGTCTGCGTCCTTTCGTGCACACTCGTACACCATTGTTCAGACGGTACGCTGCCACAGATTGAGTTACCCCGTTGCATCGCAGTGGCTGTCGACCAAGGCCTGGCGAAGCACTGAGTTCGACCAGCCGAAGGCAAACTTAGCCCAACCCATCTGAATCCCCACGAGTGTGGCCTGGTTTGAAGCGGCCCGATATACATGGGAACCTCACAACATGTAGGTTGTGTTCGCCTGGGCTGCGTAAGCTGGCTGTCACTAATCCGGAGATGGCACTTCGCCGGAACACTTGGACCTCGGCGTGCAAACCGCCAATGTCCGTGGGCGCTAGAATCGCTAAAAGAATGAAAATGTTCATGCCTCAAACAACCATCGACCCAGTTTCTGCTGTAAATGTGACTGCAGAGTCCAAGTAGGGTGGGTGGACTTTGGCTTCATATCTAGTGTGATCGAGAAGTCCAGTTTGCCAAAGCAGCTTGCATATTTGATGTAGGCTGTCAACATCATCGTGCCAGTTTATGGGGTAAACCTCAGCTGTTGATAGCTCATGATAGCTCGGCTTTCACACCCGAAAACTGAGCACAAAAGCTTCAGAAGACCTGTTGCATGCGGTTGACATGTCGTAGGCATCGAAAGCATGCTCGGAAGTGTATAATCACAGAGAATACGGCCCGTCCTTGTTCATCAGAAGTCTCTCCTCTCACGAGGACGGCCACGATCCAGTCGCCCACGGGCGAACCACTAACGCAGCTGCGAAACCTCAAGCCGCAGTGCCCAGATGCTTTACGGCTGAAAGTCGTGGCCTGTAGTCAGGGTTTCTATCGATTCAGAATTTCGTTGGCATGAAGGTAGAGAATTCGGCGGCTTTGCTTGGAGATGTGCTGTGGCCCTTTGGGCTAGGAGTTGGGGATTTTTGTGGGTGTGGATGTGCTTTGCAGCAGAATCAGCACCTGACGGCGACGGAAATCGCGAGGTTGATAAAGGGGACAACACTGGAATTGACTTACGCTGGCAATGACTTCTTATTGCCTCGCCCATACACTGTAAATAACAGCTATAGCAGGTGATTATTGGCATCCGCCAACGAAAGCAAGAGTATAATGACACGGAAAGAAAGTTTGCTCAGCAGGGCGCTAGAAGCATGGAGGGCGTGCTTGGTGTTGAAAGCGCCGAAAGCAAGGGTGCTGGCCCCCTTGCAACACTGCTTGCTCTGTAAGGGTGCGCGTGCTGACGCCCGCCCAGACGCCCAGCAGTGCCGAACTCAGATGGAGTTTCATGATGCGGTTGACTCGGGTTTCCGGGCATGCAGGCTGCAAAAGTGGCAGGACTCCACTGTACCACATTCGGCCTTCGAGTTGAAGCAAGACTGTTGGCCAGGCATCTGTAGCACTGTAGCATCTGCAGGATTGCTCCATGAGCTAGTTTAGTTGCAGCTAGCACTTGTTTGGAACTGTCCTACAGGCGTGACGTGGTACGTCGAAGGACGTGGTCAAGGTGCCGGCACAACTGTCGGCTGGGGCGAAGGCCTGGCGAGCAGTGATGCAGACGGCTGATCCGAGAAATATAGCGCAAGTCCTGAGAGCAAGACAGAGGTTGGTATGCGAGCAATCTTAGCGTAGCATTGGCAAACCCTGGTGGTCGTGGGAGGGGCGGGGGTTGGCCCATTGGCAGGGTCAAAAGTATCACAATGACAGAGATTCCGCGGCAGCAGGAAATGATCCCTGTAGACATGTAAATAGTGGTGTTCGTTGTGCAGAAAAGGAAACATCGAAAGGTAGTTGTTTTTAATATGTTGTAAGCTCGCCAATCTTGTACGAAGAGGGAACTTCCTGCCCACCACGACGAGAACCACCATTTTGCCTGCTACTGCTCCCACTCTTACTGTAGATGCTGCCCTAAACCCGAAACCCTAACGGCCCTAACCCCTGGAGAACCATTAGTGTCATTAGTGCATGTTGCTCTTCAGGCCCAGGTTTCTTCGTGACGCAGATGGCCGGCACAAGTGTCATGTGACCTGAGTGGGGGCCGAGCAGTCAGGCCGTTCCTTGTGGTTTCACGAGCTAGGATTGGGGTATTTTCGGTTTCGCCTGCCTATGGCATTCTGCATGTCTGCTAACGAAACCTTGCTATCGTGTCTGTTGCAGGTTTTGCTATTTGCATGTTGCTCCCTGTTTTCATCACGCCATCAACATGATGGACTGAGTGCCAATTTCGACTACGGCGGATTTTAGGCTGATGGTGGTGGTAATGATGATGATGATGATGACAGCTGTGAGCATGATCATGTTCACGCACAACATGTTTCAATGTTTGTGGTTTATACATGAACCGCTCGCTTATACTTGAAACTAAAACGCCCACATCACGAGGTACCCGGCCGTTGCAACCATCGCACAGGCACAGATTGTGCATGGGCCTTAGCTTTAAGCCGTGGCATTGAGGGGCGGCATCGGCAGTTGGACTGCTGGTGCCTTGCCGGAGCTTGCTATGTGTATCTAGAGACGACACGACGACGGACCGCCCGAACTGTGCGGTGCATAGCAAAATGTATCAAAGCATGGCAGAGCGGCCAGCCAGGTTTCAGTGCATCAGGAGGTTGCCCCTTGCAGCTTTCTTCTGGTCACCTAATTAGTCGAACTCAGCCTTTACCTTGCTGTAGGTTCACGTTTGCTCTGAACATCAACGCCGGGAATCAGATCAACATCGAAGCTCCGCCGGGCTTCATTCTGACTTGCGCCGGCCTCAGTCGCAAGACTAAGGCTCGCTGTACTTTCCAGTCGACCCGCATTTTGCAAGCGTTGATGCGCCGGCAAGACCAAAGGTGCTACAGCACTGCTGCAACAAGAAGACTCTGAACCCCACTGAACCCCTAAACCCCTGCAGCCCAGGCTCAACAGAAGGCGCACTCAAGCAGATCAGTCTCCCGGGGGGCAAGCAGGGACCCCTGCAGCATGCTGGTGTTTCGCTTCTGTACCTTTCACGCAACTTACGGACTTGTTTTCACGTGGCCTTTCTGACTGTACTTTCAGCCGAATATTTCAGAAGAGCAACCCTGCTTGTGGGTTCCGCGCTGCACCGTGCTAACTTTCCTAGGCATCAGTCAGGTGCAGGTCGGATTTTGCAGTTTAGCTTAGACCTTTCCTGCCTTCCTGTCGATTGTGGTGTGCTTGCTTCTGAAGCCAGGTAGGTGTCTGCACTCAGCTGACTGAGTGGCATGAGCAGGGCAAGTCCCAACACACTACAGGCCCGACTGTATCGACGACCCCTTGCAGATCCGTTTGGCCGTGACCTCGGAAGCAGCCAGCGCAAGATGTACCTGACCGCATGCGATAATGCTGTGGGATCTGGCAGAAGGGAATGTTTCGATGTTCTTTCACCCTCATCAGGATTAAGGCTGCTGCAGGAAGAGTCTTGTTGTGTCACTACCTGTAGTCTCCATTGTAGTTCCTTTTTATGGTTTAACCAGTTATATATTAAGGATTTTATAAGGCATCCCCAAAAAGGAACTACAATGGAGACTATATAGGTAAACTTGCTTGGCTTGCCAGGGGCAGCATGGGCATGTTTGTGCGACTCAGGGCACGACGCTGACAGCCGACCAGTACGCCTTAGCCCCAGAGCCTTCACTTGTTACGTGCAGCCGGGCCATCCTGGGATGGATACTGACAATCTGCCAACGAAGCCGAGAGCCTTCCCGTCCAGGATTTAGAGTTTAGGCTTTGGGTTTGGGTCATGAGGTTTAGCTAGGTTGGGAACTGCTACCCCAGATCTCAAGCCTAGACTGGGCCTAAAACGTAACCTGTACAGATACAGAGGGATCCCAAGTCGACGGGAGACGCTGAGGCTTGTGGGATCGCAGGTAGTTGACAGGTATAAGATGGACATGCGATTAAACAAATCTTCAAAGATATTCCTACTGTGCCCTAGTCACAGTCATGCCTGAGGCCTTCTCTTTGCTCGTAGACTTGCCGCCAGACGAGCCTCGCGCCGGTGAGCTCAGATTCCACGCAAAGTACAAGCCTTTACTGTATCTGCTGATTCGTAAGCCGTGGGACACATATCGAACAATCCTGAACTCGACTGTTTGTCTGCGAATTTGCACATTACATGCAGCTAGCATTACAGCCGAAAGTAGTATCTTGAACAACTTAATTTATACACACCGACAAGAACTTGTACATGCACGCGTAGAGGCATGTGTAGATGATGCATGTGTGTGTTTGTACAGTGATCCATGTGTGAGAGTGCACGAGAGACTTGATCAACACAGCATCTGACGATGAAGGGTTGATAGATAGTTTTACCACATACATATATATATATATACAATACATAGTGTGTGTGGGTGTTTGCATATGCTTATGTGTTTATTTTTAACATGAGCGTGGCTAGCTTTTGCACAGGACCAAGCGTGCTGTGTTGTCGTTGTTTCTAATTGCCAGCCGATAGTAGAGCAACGACGACGAACATTAGTAGCAGTAACAACAATCATAGAAATGTTCATAATAGTAAATGATAACCGTAGTAATACCCAACATCATAGTAGTGGTCGTCGTCGTAGCCGTGGTAGTAGTGGTCGGAGTAATACTAGCAGCAGCAGCAGCAGCAGCAGCAGCAGCAGCAGCAGTAGTAGTAGTTGTTGTTGTCGTTGTCGTTGTCGTTGTCGTTGTCGTTGTCGTTGTCGTTGTAGTTGTAGTTGTAGTTGTAGTTGTTGGTGTTGGTGTTGGTGTTGTTGTTGTTGTTGTTGTTGTTGGTGGTGGTGGTGGTGGTGGTGGTGGTGGTGGTGGTGTTGGTGTTGTTGGTGTTGTTGCTGTTGCTGGTGTTGTTGTTGTTGTTGTTGTTGTTGTTGTTGTAATAATAATAATAATTATAATTATAATAGCGGTAGTAGTGATAGTGGCTGTGGTTGTAGTGGTAGTGGTACCGTTTGCACACATTGAGATCTTTTTGCCAGGGCATCCATGACAAAACCGCAACACCGTCAATTTACCAGAGTATTAATTTGAGCATCCATGCCCAAGACCATAATGACGTTCATGTATACCTCAGCCCAAACCATATAAAGGCTCAGTTTTGGTAGCGCATGTTTGTCGCAAGAACCACACTTGTGTGCACATCTCATTACTCATTACCCGAAACAGATTGACTCAAACTGCAACTGGGAAGTGCCTGGTGTGACGTTGTCTTTTCTTTCAACCGTTGAACACATCGCAAAAACCGTGCCATTCCTTGCCCCGGCAAACGGGCTCGCCGTCGTCGTCGTCGTCGTCGCTCCGTAGTGGTAGTCGTAATAGTAGTGGTGGCGTTCTTGCCGATATCGTTGGTGATGTTGAGGATTAGGTGGCAGTGTGGTGGCAATGCATGATGCCGTGTTTCCAGGAGCTCGGTGTCACCATTCTCGCTTGGGCACCACTGGCCTCCGGAAGGTGCTTGCAATTTGAAGGCTTTTGGAGCTGAGAAACACGGGGACGCAATCCGGACCTTGCAGCCGTTTGAAAAGCATGTTGAGTCCGAAGAAGTCATATACTCCCACAAAACTCCAAACTGAAGCATTCGCCTGAGATTGCACAAAGAACTCAAGTGAAGGCAGAAACTTCGCCGTGACCAAGCGGATTCCCGGCAGATGTGAAATCGAGAAGCCCCCCGCCATTCAAGCTTGCATCCCATGCAATACAGCACCATCTCTTTGCTTTTTCTAATGCAGCGGTCCGGGAGGCTGACGAGTAAGCCCAGCACCGAGCTCCTAACGGAGGCTCGCCTATTTTTGCGGCGCTTAATGAATGTGGGGCTACATGTCTCAAGGGACTGTAGGGTGTTTGGTTCTGCCATGCAGCCTGTCCTGTTTGGAAAGGGCGCAGTGACCGCTTAGCCTCGAAGTCGCGCAGTGCTGTTGAAGATTGCTCATTAAGTTATTTTGCTTCGATCAACTGTTCTTTGACGGATGGGTTGTTTTGTATGCTGAAGGTTGAAGAGGCTTTCGATGTGGCGGCCTTTCTGCCGAAAATACCCAGCACAGCGTTAATGCTGGGTCAGGCAACAAAAGCCTTGTGAACTCTTCCGGGCTTTGGACCTGCGAAAGTTTCGAAAGCAAGACTCGATAGCTCACCCTAGCAAGTATTCCCGATGATGATCTTGCAAGCCCGACTGCATCCCAGAAGCACAGACCAAAAAATCGATGTGGACAGATTGCACCGAAGCTAGAGCATGAAGCTGTATTCGCAGGCAGAGACGGTTGCAGCTTTGAGCGTTGTGCGCACCATCGCAACTTCGCGCCAGAAGACGCCTGCGCAGGCTTGGGCACATGTCTAGAATTGTGGCTGTCTGCTGTAGCTGTAGAAGCTTCGGAGTGAAGCTTCAACTTCTTTGCACGTCCCTCTCGTGCGCCCTCTCTCCCTCTCTCTGCCTGTTCCTGAAGTCTCGCTCGTTCTTCTTTTTGTTCCTCTCTCTCTGTCTCCTGAACATGGAGTGTGATGCGTCTTTTGCTGCATCAGCACGGCAGCTCGGAGCCTCCGGACTTTGCTGGCCGTCTGTCACGTTCCGTCGCGATCTGCAATCTGCAATCCAAGCCTTATTGGAGTGTTCATGCGAGGTGGCTTTGAACTGGTGCCCTGGCTACAGCCGAGCGCAGAGCGCAGCAAAATTCTTAAAGGAGGGCGACCACTGGCTGGCGGATAGGGACACAAAGATAAGGAGTTGGACGGGAATCTGATCATTAGGTTCAGTGCCAAGCCCGACAATTCTCAAGATTTGTAGATCTGTCTCTGGTTCATGCGTCAAGAATCTAGGAACCCGACCGAGACATATTGCGGTTCCACAAAGATTGCTAGCAGAGACTATACAGAGCTCACGATATCTGCAGAGGACCCTTGGCAAACCGAGGTGCATTTGCAAGGGCACTGTGCCGATCCCTGGAGCACGCACAGTCGAACAGGCGGCTCCGATTGCAAGAGGTTTTTTTTAGATTACGCACGAGCACGACGAGCACCCAAGCCGGCCCAAGCCTTAATGAAATCTCTAAGTCATTTCCGTTCAAAGCTGGCTCAGCCTGCCAGGCACGAGAGAATGCAGGTGCCTTAGGCTGGCGATTGACAGAGGAGGAGGCGTGGCCCTTGAGGACATGCAAACCACACGCTGGGGACCTGCAATGCACGGTTTCTTTCAGACACATCGCAGACTTCGATGTAAGACTCGTGTGCGGGTTAGCCGAAACCACAAGGTTTACATGTCGACTCACATCACCGTCCTGAAGCTTGCAGATGGTGTCTTGGGAGGTCGCGAGTTTGGATGCCGTGGCCGTCGACTCCATGGGCATGTACTACAGCCCTGAGGAAATGGAGCCTCAAACTTGCTACACTCTGACAGGATCAAGCGATGCAGCAGCAAGAACATGATGTTCTTTTCCTAGATCCCTTGTGCCTGACTCTGGGCTTGATCAGATCCCCTGACTCTGAAATACTTCTGTCGCCCTCCTCCCTCCCTTTCTGTATCTCGATCTCAGGCGTCGAGGGGCACCCGAAGACGTTCTTGTCTGCCATCTCCCCACTGCTGAAAATCTGCGCTTGGTCACCAAACCAGTTTACACGCCGCCTCTCAGAACCCATCAGAACCTGCCTCAAGCACATGCTCCTGAAGGGTCACAGAGATCAGAAAGAAACAGTGCAATGACCAGCTGGGACAATGCAGGCCATCTACACTTTCTTCGGAGTTTGGCCGCCGGCCTGCGTCCGACCGAGTCTTGATTCCAACTCCAGCATACTGGGGAGCTATAGTTTTGAAGCCTATCCGCGAAGGTGCTGAGAGTTGACCGCCTAGTAGCAGGGATTTCAATGGCTCGGAGAGACTCTAGACTACTGTACTGTAGACTGTCCGATCTTGAGATCGCAAACTCGGCAGAACTCCCCGCAGCGAGCGGGCGAGAATTCAGTTTTCAGACACCTTTTTTGCATGTCGGAACCGCTACTGGTAGTTGAGTGTCGTTTAAAAAGTTTGGTCAGACAGATCGGCGTGTGATAAGACAGGCTTCGTGCACGTGCTATCTCCTATGATCTCTTGCCCCAACACTAATCCCAAAGCGAAGCTGTACTGTTGTCCTCATGGCACCTCAACTTATCAAGCCCACCACTTGTGCCCGTGCATGACAGCACCGATCATGAAAGCAAAAACACTGACTGACTGTGGGTGAGACTC